TATTTATGCTATAAATAATGACACATGGAGTCTTTGAGATGATCCAATTTTTACGATGGAGTTGGCCAATGAGAAAGAGATCCAAGAAGACATAAAAATCGATATGACAGAGATCCAAGAGGATCAATTACTTGATACCAAACGAAATTCAAGAGGGTCAATTGCTTGATATTCGACTTGAAGTGTCCACCAATAAGAATTAAATTTTATGAATTCGAGGCAAGTTAGAGTGTACCACTCAATTCCTAATATGAAGGATCTACATGAGTAGAAATTAACTCTCTATGGACATCGGTGAAACACTCTATGGACATTGATGAGACTCAAGAATTTAACTACACATGATCTCGTTGGAAGTAAGCAGGATCCATTGTCGATGTAGTGTGCCACTATGCCCGATGAACATTGGCTTAAGATCAAGCTTCTCCTAAGTGGAATATTACTCAAGTTACAAATCTGTGGAGATATATTGTTCTGATGGTTCAACATTTCCAAATAAACTCTCTTGTGACTTCAAGAGTCCAAAGGGTCTTCTCTTAGCCCACCGGATTATGAACTATGAAGAATTCTTAGAAAGCTTTGGTTTGATTATCTATTTGAGCTTACATCACACATGGATCATGGGTCAGAATCTCATAACATATTTATTAAAGCTATCTACTTATCGCCATGACGAAGGAGGTTAATCAATTAGAAAAAGACACCCAAGGGATACAATATTTGGCAAGGAATTTTCTTGTATTTTAGAGTAACCAAGAGCATAGCTTGTCCGTATATGTCAGAGTTTCAGAGACTACCTTGAATAAAGCAAAACAAGTGAAAACTTTGTGGAGTTTTGGCAACCTAAGTTGTTTCCACAAGAGATCAGCAACAATGGGTGCTTACAACAAGACTTTTAGTGACCAAAAAGCATGTACTATTGCCAAAACTAGTCATGCAAAAGAACAATTGAGGTTGGACGAACCCCAGCAGCCCGCCTCTCGTGCTTGTGTCCTTGACTTCCATTAGTCCTAAAAATCCTTTCAAAGCATCCAAAAAATTTTACACCGACACCGACAACTAGAGATAGGTCGAGAGGACATCTGGACCAGATGAAGAGGTTGAAAGATCAAAGATAAATAGGCGACACGAAGCCTGAGCAATCATGATTCCATCGTTGATATTGAAGAAATTTTTGTGAGGCTTCATGTTACACACTCACTTATAGCTACTTGAATTATTATCTACCACAAAACAGCTAGTTGACATAGGGGCCGAGATCCTCAAGTATGGAAAAATTAAGGGTTGGATTGTGCTGTGCTCAACCCCTCTATTTGGACCAAACAACCGATACAAGTCAAAATAAGAATCAACATTCTTTTATAAATGATACGTTTGAGCTCTTGAGTTGGGATAACTGATGCCATAGCACTTCAGTGGAGTACCTCCCGCGAATGAATAAGATTGAGCTTTAGAGCTAATCTTTGTGGAGTATCTGCCACATGAAAGACATATAATAGCGGAGTACCTCTCGCGAATTGATAAGATTGAGTTTTAGAGCTAATCTTTGTGGAGTACCTTTCACATGAAAGACATCTAACCGCGGAGTACCTCCCGTGAATTGATAAGATTGAGCTTTAGAGCTAATCTTTGTGGAGTACCTGCCACATGAAAGACATCTAACAACGGAGTACCTCCCGTGAATTGATAAGATTGAGCTTCAAAGCTAATTTTTTTGTAAAGTACCTATCATATGAGAGATGTCGCAACATCACTAAGGAGTAGAGCTAATCCTTTTGTGGAGTACTTGCCACATGAAAGACTCGAGAAGGCTCGGGCATAAGATAACCTACTACTAAGGTAGGGAGGAAAAAATTCCTGGCAGAGGCAGGGACCTAGCTCAGGTGTAGCCATCCGATCAAACTTAAGCTCACTGCTAGGCACGACGGTGTAAACCAAACGGGTAAAGTTTGAAGACCGATTAGATCGGCGGATCGGTACAAGGGTCACAATAAATGACCAAGAATTGATGCCTGAACCATTCAAAAAGGCAGGTCCTCTTGGCTAGGGGAAGGGGGCCATGATTGAAAATTTTAAGTATTGAACTCCCAGGCCCTTCATTGAGGTAACACCTATTTGCTATGGAAAAAGGACACAAAAAAGCATCTTTTCATAACGAATAATACAAGGCAAGTAATGAGAGAGGATTGTAAAAAAAGAATATGTGCCACATGAAAAATATTCTCTGGGGGCAAATGAAGGAGTCGAAAAATTCTGATCATTATCTGACAATTAGACTTGGACACGTGTCATGTTGCACGTGCTGAAAAGAGTTATTTGTAATGACTCTAATATGAGTAGAACAAATAGCTAGGCTATTCGGGCCAAACTAAAGTTGGTCCAGCCAAGCAGAGCAAGTAGCTAGGCTAGTAGAGCAAGTAGTTAGGCTATCTGGGCCAAGCAGAGCAAGTAGCTCAGCTATCCGGGCCGAGCTAAAATTGGTCCGACCTAGTAGAGGATAAAACTCAACCAAACAGATAGCTAGGTTGTCTTGGTTGAGCAGAGGATGAGATCCGACCAAGTTGTCATCAAATAGAAATCGAGTTGATCAGAAAGCTTAGAAAGGAAGGAATGAGCTCGATCCTCGTCACGACCGAGCTATTTAAAACAGTAATGCGATGCTAAAAAGATGCCTACAATTCAGGCATTTTGGTTAAATGAATATGCTCAGTAGAAGGAATTGCGGGAGAGATCTTAGCAACTTTGTGAACAGAATCACCTGATTAGGGAAAAGTGTACCATCTTAAATCAAAAATTATGGAAACCCTAACTAAAAAAAAGACTCTATAATAGGCATAAGGAGTCAAGGTGAAAGGTATGCTGAACTCTCCTTGTCTTCTTGCAATTGTCTCAGTTCCATTACTGACTTAAGCATCAGAATGTCATCGATCGAAATACTTCAATCTTAGACAATTTGTTCATTTTGCTGGAAACAAAGACTGAGAGATCAAGTTCAGAACTCACTCTTATCAGAAATGTTCAATCTTTATTCTCGCAAGAGGTATCCTTAATTTTTATCCCTTACAACATTTATAAATAGAATTGAAACTCTCGACATGAAATTTCTTTGTATGGATATACTCCAAAAACGGACTAGATTGTACAATAATGATACTAAAAAAGACTAATTACCTAAAATGTATGATCCTTACAATCAAAAAATGATTTTCACCTTCAATTTCAATTATAAATGAACCTTCAATAGAAAATTTTAGAGAGATAATTGGAAAAAATAAGATTGATGGTATTCTTCTTTCCTGATACTGATTGCAAAGAATTTGAAGAGAAAAATAGATCCATTTGATTAAAAAACCATTCCAAACACTCACATAAATTTCTCATTTCTCAAATTTAATTACTAAATTTGCTTGAGAATCAAGCTCGAGTTTCAATTGGAAAATATTTTCTTTCTTTTCAAAACAATAACAAGGACGAATTGATTCTGCAAATGGAACAAAATTTTTGACATTTTTTCAAGAACCCATTAAAGAAGAAAAGGAGAGAAAATTTGGATATAGTATAGAGATATTTGGGACTAATTTTTATGGCTTTTCATTTTCCCGATTAGGGTCTTTTCGCAATAAAATTGGGATTATCTATAATATAGTATGCTAATCAGAGAGGTACCCATTTCTTGAATTCACCTTGATTATAGAACAAGCTTAAAAATTTAATCAAATATCATTTATTTTTGTAATTTAAATAAGACAAAATAAAGTCAAACTTTATAACTGTAGTTGGTTGTGGTGTGACCGTAAATAGGAATTGATATATATATATATATATATATATATATATATATATATATATATATATATATATATATATATGTGTGTGTGTGTGTGTGTGTGTGTGTGTGCCCACCTAAACTATGATATTTTAAGCAATTGGATGAGGCTCGAAGCCGTGAATTAAGAGGCGTGGTGGCTGCGTTAGTGTATAAAATTGAGCAAAGTAGAAGCAGAAAAAACATAAATTTAATCTCGACAGTCTCATGATAACCCGACCACATAACCTCTTCAACTCAATTACTTACATGCTAAGGATTTGAAGTTTTCAACTCTTGCCTTGGAGTTGTTGGTGAGGCATGTAACAGCAAGCCCGAGAATGTTAATGAGCTAAGCATCCATCCAAAACTTCAATCGAATCGACATTGTTTCTATAGATTTTCTGAAATATTCATCTGGAGGAGGTGAGTAACAGAAACCTCTTATTCGTTAATGGGACTCAATAATTTAATGGTGGTTTGATTAATTGATTAAGTAAATTAATTGAACAAATCAAAATAGTGAGGCTCAGGAACCCATACATTGCATGGAAAACGTTGTCCAAAAAGGCATGTTAGCCACTGTTTGGTGGGTAATTTTGCGCTGCCTACTTGATGGTTGCCATTTGTCCAAAAAAAAAAAAAAACAATAACAAACCAACTTGTTGATTGTTGCTAGATTTTCAACTGGATTGGGGGAGGTGGTTACTGCTAATTTTCTTGAAAGGGTCGTTATTATCTTATGAAAGGATGATGACCATTTGACAAATATTTAACTCCAGCCATGTGTAAGGGTTCCTTAGTCTCTGTGTGTGTGTGTGAGTGAGAGAGAGAGAGAGAGAGTCCAAGAAAAAAATAGTAAACAATTCATAGAAGTAAATGGCTGAAAATTATTATTTTCAACTATCCCAAACCTCACAAACTCAAATTCTTTACAATTTGTCTCATTGTGGCATTGGTGCAGACGTGAGGTGAGGGAGGTCTTAAGTGGTGATGAGTTGCACCTCTCTCTCTCTCTCTCCCCCCCCCCCCCCCCTCTCTCCCCTTTGTTGCCACCTTCTCAATAAGGATAGCATATTTGTCATGCTTCCCTATATAACTATCCAACTTTTCTCAAAAGATAAGTGAATCATATCTAGGACACAGAAAAGTTCAAGAGAGGTAGGCACTTTGTACGTAGTAAAGAAATTGAAAGATTTCGAAGATGATTAGAGGGGCCACAACATGTTTCACCAATGGGCCACAAGGGTTACAAATCTATGGTGTGAAAGAAGACTTGGTTTCTTCCTCCATAGAACCAAGCTCTGTCTCAAACATTAACTCAGACTCGCTCCTTTACAATCTCTCAGTTCTCAAAGACAAAGTTCATCATGTTCAATCACTTGTTAGTCTGTTTATCTCCCCCAATCAAAGTCAACCGCCAGAATCAACGGACATGGCCATGGCCAGCATGGGGACTGTTTTACAAGAAATCATAGTAACTACTTCTTCCATGATGTTCACTTGCCAACAGATGGCTCTTGGCGCAACAACCAGCAACGCCACCACCCATGAATTGCAGCACCACCGAGTTAAGGTTAATGATGGCATGTTAAACCAACCCAACTGTGGTGGCGATCGGGTTGTTCATGTCCTGGAAGACTCAGAAGAAAGAGGACAAGAGTTCTATTCGGGCGAGACAACAATGCTTGATTGGTATGGCGAAAACAACTACAAAACTTGCAACACAAATGATCATAATATCAACCGGAGTACTAATATTACCGGAAGAAACAACATTGAAGTGGAGAGAAGAGAATTGGCTGAAAGGAGAGAGAATAGTGATGAGTTACAAGGAATTTCTCTGAAGAACTACGATATTATTGAAGTGAATGCTTCTGATTTATTGGCTAAGTACACACATTATTGCCAAGTTTGTGGAAAAGGGTTCAAGAGGGACGCTAATCTGAGGATGCACATGAGAGCTCATGGCGATGAGTACAAGTCCAATGCAGCATTGAGCAAGCCCACGATGAACAACGTAAATGGAAGTGGAATTGCAGATAATCTCACAAAACTACAGAAAAAATATTCGTGTCCACAAGAAGGTTGCAGGTGGAACCGAAAGCACGCCAAGTTTCATCCATTAAAATCGATGATTTGCGTGAAGAATCATTACAGGAGGAGCCATTGCCCGAAGATGTATGTGTGCAAGCGGTGCAATCAGAAACAATTCTCTGTGCTGTCTGATTTGAAGACACATGAGAAGCACTGTGGTGATATCAAATGGCAGTGTTCATGTGGAACAACATTTTCTAGGAAAGATAAGCTTATGGGTCATGTTGCTTTGTTCGTAGGGCACACCCCAGCAGTTAGTTCCATAGCTAAAATGGGAAAATTTGATTAAAATGCACTGCAAATGCAATTATATGAAAGGTAAAGATGTACTTAGATCAATGAGAGTTCTTCTTGCTTCTTGTACATTTTAATCCAATCTATTATGCTATCTTACTTTTAAGATGTCTTCGTGGTACTTGGTAGACAGATAGAGAAAAACTTTGTAATTTTTGAACTATACATGAGTTTAATATGAATCTTTGCTTCTTTTAATCACTATATATTGATGAACCCGAAATGAACTGAGTCAGACCCAATTAATCAGAAGAGACCCATGTCACCTCGGAACCCAAGTCAACAAGTCAAAAAGGAGCCCAAATCAACAAGGGGGCGCCGCCCAAGGGAGGCCACCCCAAGGGGATCTCTTCCCTCCTTCGTCTCATGCTCTATCTCCTGCGCCCTCTTGACTCTTGTACAGCACCTACCAACTCAGGATCCTCCTCCGGCTGAATAGGAGCACGAGGAAAGAATATTAGGATACGCACGGAGATCTAATCCTACCATAACTATACTTACCAAAATAATAGAAGCCATCTCCCTCACGTCACCATCTCACCATACCTATATATTGTAAGTCCTCTATACATAGAGGGTATCACCTTGAGGCCTCTACACTTTACACATACTACATCTCCTTACATGCATTGTTTCTCTTTCCTAAAACATTGTAATACTCCCGGAGTATACTCTCCCCGTGACTTTTATTCATCAATAAAGATCTCCGGCCATCGCTACTGTTCATGAGAGTGGAGTAGGTCACCTATACCGAACCACTATATACCTTTGTGTTGACTAATTATTTACTGCTTTATTTTTAATTGCTTTATTTACTACTCATTAATCGCACCCGTTCATATACTCGACTGTTAATTTTGCACAATACTGATTTGTGCATCATCAGTTTGGCGTCATCTATGAAAAACGACTAGTTTTCTACTCTCTTTCAATCCATGACAATCACTACCAGATCAATGAGTCAACAATCGGAAGACAACAATCCGGCCCACTGGGAGGAGGCTCCGCTTTCCCTTGTGCTCTCGGAGCCATCTGCTGTTGTGACTGGACAACAACAACAACTTCTACAGACTACGCAACTGATGGTAAAGCAGAACCAGCAGATCATTCAATTGATGCTCGCCTAGGGAGGCACCGCCCCTCACACTACAGGAAAAACCCCACTCCCTCTGAGTAGCAGCCCATCCCTTATGGGCACCAACCAACCCTCACCATGGAGCCCCTCGCCAGAATGCCCCAAGGCCACTCCAGGGCGCCCCTCGCCCAACAGTCCCTCCTCAGCGCCCAGAGAGCTCTCGTATACCCTCTCCGCACATACTTGAGCAAGAGAACGAAGACGGAGAAAGCCAATATAGAGATCATGAAAGCCAGTACCACCACTCAACTGAAGATGTCCCCAATTAGTGGGATGAGAAGATTAGAGAGGTACAAAACCAACTTGGTGATGCCTCAATGCCATCAAGACACAGGCGCCCGAGGTAGTAGACTACGTGATAAGACGTATTGATACACCACTTATTGTTGATATTATCAATTATCTCATACCCTTGAAGTTCAAGATGTCTACCATCGAGATCTTCGACGATACCAAAAATCCCCTTGACCTCCTGGACACCTACAAATCTCTCATGCAACTACATAACGTGTCTGAGGAGAATATGTGTAGAGCCTTCCCTACCACCCTCAAGAGATCCGCACGCACGCCAATGGTTTGCAAAGATTGGGCCCTCTTCAATTCACTCATTTGCAAGGTTGAGTAGATTCTTCATCTCTCATTTCGTTGGGGGACACCGACATCAGAAACCAATGGCCCACTTGCTCACCATCAAGTAGGACAGGGATGAAAGCCTCAGAGATTACCTGACCCACTTCAACGAGGAAGCTATCCAAATTGAGGACCTAGATGATAAGGTAGCCCTGGTCGCTTTTATCGCAGGTCTGCGCTCCTCCAACTTTATATTCTTAGTCCTCAAAAAGTCGCCCTCTAGCATACCTGAGTTGCTATCTAGGGCACAAAAATACATGAACACCAAGAATGTCACCAAGGCCAAATGAGGTGAGTCCTCCTATGGGGGCGAGAAAAGGAAAGATGCCCACGAAGACAGGTGGGAGGCAGAGAACAAGAGAAAGAAAATCGAAAGCGTCGCTGTCAAGGACCATCTCGGTCCGTACCCCCCGAGAAAACGATAGCCTTTCATGCCACTCAACACCCTAATGGAGCACATCATATTCTAGATACAAGATGACCTCATGCTCCGTTGGCCCGAAAAAATAAAGTCCGCCCCAAACTGTAGAAATTTCAACAGGTACCATCGCTTTCACCGCGACCATGACCACGACACTGGTGACTGCTATGAGCTCAAGAGGTAGATCGAAGAGCTCATACGGCGTGGCCACTAGAGACAATACGTTGCTGGTAGAGGATAAGCCCTACACCTGGCCAGGACTAGGATGACAAAGAATGTCAGTAACCCCTCAGAGAAATTTAGACAATCTCCTAAGGGCCAAGAAGAGGAGACGACTCCAACTCCGCCGGGAAAGTCTTCGCCCAACTATGGGACACCGAACACCAGAAGATTTTATCTATCCTTTATTGTTTCAGTTGATTTATTTTGTTATTTGTTATTTATTATTTTATAAATAAAATTTTACGAATATTATTATGTCCAAATTGTCTTGTTTTCCTAAAAATTACAAGCAACTTATAAAATTCAGAACATGGCTTAATAATAAGGTGTAAACAAAAGGACAATAGTCGTCATACTCCCACGATCAGTCATTGTTCTCTGAGCCACAACCACTATAATCAAGGCTAGGGATGACAATAGACCGAGAAAAAATAGGCATTCGTCCAAACCCGTCCCATTTGAACCGGGGTGAACTATACGTATTGGACGGTGGAGGTATACGGGGATACCTGTATAAATCCGTGTGGGGATGAAGGCGGGAATGGACTTCCCATATATATATATATATATAGTAAAGCCTTAATATATTCTCTCTGTAAGTCTCCAATGCTTTTCTCCTTATTCACCACCTCTCTTCTTAATCTAGTCTCTCTGTAAGTCTCCATGTGTCATGTAATTTACACATGGCAAAACTGTTTAAACCCTTACGTTTTTAAAATACAATTATTGTAGTTATGCATGTGATTTTTTCAGTATTTTTTGGTTTAGCCTTATTGAGTGTCTCGGAGGACGATATTGTTTAATTGGCTTTCTTTCTTTTGGTTAGAACTATTTTCCATGGAATTTTCTCTCACTTGCTGTTAATTTTTCCCTATGACCCTTTAGGAATATTGTGCAACAATTCTAAGGTAATTGATAGTATTTTTTTAATCTCTTAATTCAATGTTTAATCCTAAAACTTACATTTGCTTGAACTTGGGCTTAGGGTTAGGCTTGGCCTTGAGCAGGTACGGGGGGAATCGGGAACGGGGACGGGGGCGGGATTAAAAATTTACCTGCGGATGGGGATGGGATAAAAATTATACTCATTAACGGGGGTGGACCGGAGATGAACAAAGGTTTTTTAAGAGGGTACGGAGATAAAGACTATACCCTCCGTCCCCGCTTCGGTCCATTGACATCCCTAATCAAGGCTTTCCCTGTCACCAACTATTGCTAATGCCTCATAGGGGAAGAAGTCAGAGGAATTAACAGTGGCCCTCTCAATAGACACCCAGCCTCAGGCGTCTAGCACCAGGGGCCCAATAGTAGGCGCCGCCCAGGCTAGCGCCTTGGTTTGTTGGGATCCAATGCGCTTTAAACCCACAAACAAACACACACAATCGAAGAACAAATTAAAAACATAAAACAATGAGAAACAAGAAAGAACAAGACACACAGATTTTACGTGATTTGACAATTTGCTTACGTCTACGAAACTGCAGAGATTTCACTATTGAGAGAGAGAAATACAGAGGGTGAAATACAGCAGCTCTAGCATGCCCGAGATGTTGTCTAGGGCACAGAAATACATGAACACTGAGAATGTCACCAAGGTCAGACAAGGTGAGTCCTCCCATGGGGGCATGAAAAGGAAAGACGCCCACAAAGACAAGTGGGAGGTGGAGAATAAGAGAAAGAGAACTGAAAGAGTCTCTGTCAAAGACCATTTCGGTTCGTACCCTCTGAGAGAATTACAACCTTTCACGCCACTCAACATCTCAGTGGAGCACATCCTATTCCAGATACAAGATGACCCAATGCTCCGCTAGCCCAAAAAAATGAAATTCGCCCCAAACCACAGAATTCCAACAGGTACTGTTGCTTCCACCACGACCATGACCACGACATTGATGACTGCTATGAGCTCAAGAGGTAAATCGAGGAGCTTATATGGCGTGGACACTTGAGACAGTACGTTGCTGATAGAGGACAAGCCCCACCACTTAGTCGGGACCAGGATGACAAAGAACATCAACAACCCCTCAAAAAAATTCAGACAATCTTTTGAGGGCCAAAAAGAGGAGACGACTCCAACTCCACTGGGAAAGTCTTCGCCCAACTATGGGACATTGAACACCATAAGACTTTATCTATCCTTTATTGTTTCAAATGATTTATTTTGTTATTTTATAAAATAAAATTCTACAAATATTATTGTGTCCGAATTGCCTTGTTTTCCTAAAAATTACAAGCAGCTTATAAAAGTCAGAACATGGCTTAACAACAAGGTGTAAACAAAAGGACAACAGTCATCATACTCCCGACAATTAGTCACTGCTCTCTGAACCACAACCACTATAATCAAGGTTCTCCCCGTCACCAACTATTGCTAATGCCTCATAGGGGACAAAGGCAAAGGAATTAACAACGGCCCTCTCAAAAAGCACCCAACCTCAGGCGTCCAGCACCAGGCACCCAGTAGTAGGCGCCCAAACAAGCGCCGCCCAGGCTAACGCCCTGGTTTGTTGGGATCCAATGTGCTTTAAACTCACAAACAAGCACACACAATAGAAGAAAAAACCAAAAATATAAAAAAATGAAAAGCAAAAAAGAACAAGACACACAGATTTTATGTGGATCAGCAATTTGTCTACGTCCACGAAGCTGCAGGGATTTCATTATTGAGAGAGCGAAATACAGAGAGCTGCTATACTATTACGCTCAATCCCTAATCATCAAAGTAACATGTTTTTATAGTAGAAGTCATCTCCCTCACGTCACTGCCTCACCATACTTATATAATGTAAGTCATCTACACATAGAGGGTATCACCTTGAAGCCTCTACACTTTACACATACTACACCTCCCTACACGCATTGCTTCTCTTTCCTAAAGCATTGTAATGCTCTTGGATTATACTCTCTCGGGTGACTTTTATTCATCAATAAAGATCTCCGGTCACCGCTGCTGTTTCTGAGTGGAGTAGGTCACTTGGACTGAACCACTATATATCTTTGTGTTGGTTAATTATTTACTGCTCATTAACCGCACCCGTTCATATACTCAACTGTTAATTTTGCACAATACCGATTTATGCATCATCACATGTAACTGTTACTCTCATAGCCAACATTTCATGAAATTTGGGTATTTTTAGTCTGTAGACGGTTGATGCACATGGTAATCCAATAATCCGAACATCAAAATTCATTACCACGCACTGCCAATTTATATTTTCCTGAAACTAGTCTCCAGACTATGCATGCCATTAAAAGTTCCCTTGTACGGAGGTGCAAAGAGTGTGTGATAGACAACTTTACTATTTGGAGGAGTTGATTCCCGGACTAGTATCTGTGGCATACATATAGCTAAAAACTAAAAAGTTTATCTAGATAGTAGAACCCAAGTTCACATTTGGCAGAGTATAATTAAGCTCAGAGAAATCACTAGGCCACTTATGGTTCACCGTTCATGTAATTGGTAATGGAAATGACACAGAGATGTGGTGGGACAACTGGCACCCCCAAGGCCCTCTGCTCCAAAAGTATAGCTGTGCAGTTGAACAAGAAGTTGGTTTGAGGAAGGATTCAAAAGTGAGTGCGGTCATTTGCAACAATCAATGGTACTGGCCAAACTTTTTTCTCCAGAGATGCAAGAAATTGCTACCACCATGCCCAGTTATGTTCTGAATCATTCCAATGAGGACGTTGTCAGATGGAAACTTACTGCAAATTCTCTCTATTCAGCTCACTCTGCCTGGGATCATATACGAAGTAGCGATATTCAAGTTTCATGGTATTAGCTTGTGTGGTTTGGTCAGTCTGTGCCTAGAATGAGCTTTATCCTTTGGCTCACCATTAAATCCAAACTCGGCACGTTGGACAGAATGCAGTCATTTGCAGCCCACTTGGGGGTGGATTGTATCTTATGCAGAGACTTCATCTCTTTTTTGAATGCCCTTAGTCAGCAACAGTCTGGAGATCTATACTGCTGATGAGTCGTCAAGTTTGGCAAGCAAGGCCATGGGGGGAGTTCATCGAATGGGCTGCTTCTAATTGGAGGGGTAAGTCAATGCTGAAAGTGATTCTCAAGCTCAATCTTGGTGCTACCACCTACACAATTTGGATGAAAAGGAACAATAGGAGGTTCAAGAACCAGTTCAGGGACTCCACTACAGTCAGCCACCTTATTCAGTAAATTATCAGGAATAGGCTGGCCTCTTTATGCTTCAAGAGCAATCATTTGAATAGGCAACTTGGCCAGCATTGGTTACTCCCAACCCACTGCATTAAGTAGTTGAGTTTCAGCTTGTCCAAGTGGTCAATTTGATTGTTTTTGCACTGTTCTGTTTTTTTTTTCTTTTGCTGCCTGTTAAGGAAGGTCTCAATGTAGTTGGATTTAGTTGAAAGTTTTTGCTCAAGGCTTCTACTTCCTCCTAAATTCAGCTGTTATGGATCAACTAGGCATGTTCCCCTTTGTAAGATCACAAGAAGGACATCCTTTATTGTTGCTTTTGGTGTTTTTTCAAATAATAATTTTTACTTTCCCAAAAAAAAAAAATTCACATTGTTACTGTCTTGCAAAAATTACTCTCTAAAAAGTGTAAGCTTGATTGGTAATAGTTTTTTAGATTCTATTTGCATTTCCTCAGGTCAAGTAGCTAACTCATCCCACCATCCAGATTGGAGTGAGGATACTGTTCGAGAGAGAGAAATTTTTGACTTAAAAAAATATCAGCTCAAACATGATAAAACATATTAAGATGCAACTGTAGATTTTTATATTCAATAGTAAAACCAGTTTCTATTTTACATAAATAAATTATTAAAAAGACATAAAATAATTTTTTTCTTAATGTGTATATATATATCAGTTATATTTCACAAATATTTTGTTCAACCCAAAAATAAAACATTTGATTATGGGGGGCAATCATACATTTTCACAAATTATCGTGGGTGGTAGGTGGTAATAGGCGGTGGTGGTGAGAGGTGGTAGGTGGTTGTAGTGTTTGGTGACAGCCCCCAATCGCCAATGTAGCAGCTTGCGGGAATTTTTTTTGATGTGATATCTCTCTCCATTTCACTAACGATCTTTCTCGTCCATTATGTTTGCCTTACAAATTATGCAAATTTATAATTTAACCTAAAAAAAAATATAAATTTAATGTTGTAAACTAACCACAACTTATATCAAAATCCTTAAAAGTAACAATAAAAATAAAAATTGTAGATACGGTGCCATAATCTTGTCCACAAATTATAGCTATTGCATAGGCAGTTACAATAATATAAACTTAATATATTAATGTGTTGATCTTAAAAATCACAATAATTATATATTTTCTCTTTTTAACCTTTTTTATTCGCATTCGTTCCGTCCGTCCGTCCGCTTCGTCTGCCTTTTAGAAGCAGATGGGAAGTTGGGTGGGAGCTTAGACCAAGGCTTTTGAGCCTTTACGAGGCAGGTCATCCATCTTCACGGATTCAACCTTTAAACTCTGGTCAATTGATGCAGTAATAGAGATAAAAATGAAAAGTTCTCCTCTTTATACCAATTTGAGTATATAGTACAACACTTTCAACTACTATTGATTTTTTTCAGGTGTATGCATTTTGGCATCCTATACAAATGAAACTGCTTCTAAATGCACTTCTCTGTTAACTATGAAACCGATATACAGCTGCTAGCAAATGATGCCATATTACAAACACTGCTTCATGCTCTATGCAACAATGGTTTCTATAATACCTATGCTATGGAAGTAGGGTTACTGACAGCCTCAGCCATTTCTCTTTCTGAGTCAATCAATTTCGGCATGCACATAATCGATAAACACAAAATTCTTTTGGAGTTCATGTAGCACGTAAGCCAAGCCAGCACTTATAAGTGCAAGACCACCCAAAATAATACGCAATTGCATATCTGAAGGAATTCCAGCTGTTGCAGAGCATAAAACAGCTACACCAATTAGGAATTTCTGCGACGTCCGGAATGCTGTATAAGCTTTTTTACATGATGAACACTTCTGTGTGTGCTGTTCATATCTATCCAACATCTGCAATGTAATGCAGAATTGAACAGTAAAAGTTAGAAACAAGTTAAGACCATTGAACCTTGGCAATATGCCATATGATTTGCCAATTCTGAAGGGATTTCTCAAACTACATGGAAATGAAATCATTCCTAGTCCTAAATGAAATTAGTTTATATTGTCCCATACACATTTGTAGCAATTCCCCCGTGGAAGCAAAGAAAAATCCAAAATACAAAGCCATTCCCAACTCAAATAATAAGATCAGATATCTTAACCACTCACAAACCCAGCCCAACCTGCAGTTCATTTTCTTAACTAAACAAAGCCTGCCTAGTCCTTCTTTTCTCTTTTCTTTCCTCAAAATTTGACTTTAAAAACGATGTTGCCAGTTTCTAAATAGTCTTTGTGGTTTAGTGCAGATCTATGTATGTTCAGGAAGTTTATAAATGGAAACTGGATCATTTCATTGCCATTGGTGTCAGAAACTTGGATCATTTCATCACCATAAGGGTCATAAATTCAATAAAATAAATCAGTTACTGTACCTGTCGTTTGGATAAGACAATAGACGGCAGCGGTTGGTCAGTGACGCCAAACCAGTCGGGTTGGCTGTTGCCATGTCGCCTCAGCCAATTGCGAAATGCCAAGACGAAACGATCAGCTTGTGTAGGTGTAAACGTGATTTTCGTGTACTGCTTGTTGATGTCAGCAGAATCCTCTTTCGACTTTGAAAGAAAGACCTTCTCTTGACCCTGAAGCACAATCATGTCTCCATCATATACCTTGTTGGAAGTCCAGTGCTCATGCCATCTAGGAACCACCTGTCATGACCATATGTAAGCCCAACTGTTAGAGGATAGAGCACTATATCCCAGTAAGAGTGAGAGTTTACTTTGATATTTCAAAATAATAAGAGCAAGTCATATTTTATAATAAAAATGCAGCAGGAGTTTGGCATAACGACAGAATGGAGAACATAATCATGCCTTTATGTATCCTCTATGGCTCTATTCACATGAAAGTTCAAACTCAAGTGAGTTTTTACACCCCTAACAAAATCACACACTTTTATTGGTCTATAAAACCTATTAAATCCTAGTATTAACATAAGAACTGCCAAGTCTAAGCACAAATAAGTCCAACGAATAAGACTATTATTGCTATTCATGCTACTATAGATGCTCATCACAAGGTTTCGACATCGCAACAATTTTATTCCTTTATCACCATAATTCATTACAAGTTTCCACGAGTACAAAGTCCTCAGTCTTGTCACATGTCCTCGAAACTGTGACATTTGTTGCATTCTATTTTTCTTTCTTAATTAAAATTTCTTTTTCCCCCTTTCTCCTATTTTGCTTTTGATTGGGAGAAGGTGGTGGCTGGGGTGGTATAACTCAGTGTTATGCTACAAAAGATTTACAACAGAAATAAATTATGCAATGCCTTCATCATGGTATGGTCAAGAATTTGTTCGCCCAAAATTAACATTGAAGCATTATCAATCTTTTGTTAAGTCATATACTCAAGCCATTCTAGCACCTCCCACACCACCAAGAAGTTTGCTACAAAGTAAACCAGATATTGACAATGGTCCAAATTTATTGACAAACCAACCCATGCATTTCTTCAGATGTCCAAATTTTGTGATAATATCCTTCCATCAAATTACGATGCCTCTCTGGTGTCAAGGGATTGGTAAGACCAAGCCAGCATATTCCACAGATATACCATTTATGATTATAAAACGGAAACCTACTAAGAAATGTGCAGCCTTTTTTAGAAGCAACCAACCAACCACAACATAAATAACAAACAGATGATATAACAGGTCAGATTCTCAGGAAGAGAAAGAGCAACTGGATTTGTATCAACTCTCCAGCTATGTTACTGCTATACTTTTATAATCATAATTAAAGGAATAAAGCAAGTGTCCTCACCTGCCACCAGGCAGGGCCCGGCATTGTGAACTGGAAGAAGTTTCGAGCACTACAAACAATTGAACGGGTCTTCCCTGGTGCCATCGGCACATTGAAGGAACAAATCCATATCACCCAATTTTGATCCCCTACTATAGGAAGCTTGGTATCAATCTCTATCCTGGAGCAAACCAAAACAAACACAAAAATAGAATGGGATTCAGGAATATGCATTTGACATGCCAGCATAATATTTTTTTTCATACATAAACCAATTTTGTACATCATATGAAAGATGTACAAAAACCCAAAAGATTGTGGCCCTTCACAAAATAATGTGTGCAAGCCAAGCTTGCTTATGCTTAGCAAGCAAGCACTAGCTTTCTGTTTGCCTATGCAACAAGATTCCAAGAAAACTATTCACTCACAGAAAAATGCGGGAACACATGGAAAACAGCAACACCCCAATTTCTGAAAAAATAGTGTGCAGACAATATTCAGATACAACTCCTTATTCCTGTGTATCTGAAACCTTGGGCCACATCTAAGCTATTACCCTCTCGTAAAGATCTAACAAGAAAAAACAAGAACGGATGATCTCTGATTTTTAATTGTTTGGGGAATGGAAGCTGAACTTCCTTTTGGCTCTCCCCAAAAATGATGTTTCTTTTCAGCGGGACACAATTTAATGAAATGCTGCAATATTTTGATGCCTAATGAGAAAAAACCAAAAAGTACGATTTTCTATTTTTAACAGTTTGGGGAATGGAAGTTGAACTTCTATTCGGTTCCTCCCTAAAAAAAGATGTGTTTTTTTTCAGCAGGGCAAAATTTAATGAAACAATGCAACTTTTCGATGCCTAGGATGGAATTCTCCATACAACAGATAGGCAAAAAGATGGAAACTCCAAATAAATCAACATAAAAGGTATGTAGTAGTAGTTTTGAGCAAAAGGAAAGCAGATAATTTAGACCCTTGGATGATTTTTTTTCAGGTTAATGCCAGACACATGTACCAGATGAGAAGGTTAAGTAAAGTTACTAGCATGTTGTCCAGAAGTCATACACATATTACTTTAGAAGTAGTCTCTAGCATCGTCATCGACTCATTTTCCAAGGACCCCATATTTAGGAGACTCTAACTGCCAGGTTTTACGACAATGCGAGTATTACTTACGACCAACTGAAGGCAATGTGCACCTACATTGGTAACATTGATTGATGAAACAAAATCTTTAAGCTGGCATAAAGCAAGTCAAAGAGGAGATGTATGCGAGAATTAGCACTTACAAGACAACTTACTTATTGATGTAGTAACAAGGAGCAACGAATTTGGCGCTGATTTTTGGATTATCCTCATTTGATCCAGCAAAGCCCCATGGGCCAGTAGACTCCATCGTAAAAGGCAAGGACTTGGCTCTATCCCTCCTCCCTGTAACCTGTATGGTGATTCCAAATGATAAACAATCTAGAAGATTTTCTTACCTTTCACAGGCATGTGAAATAAAAAATTGCTGAATTCATGAGTTGGTTAGCCAATAGATGACAAGAGCAACCATAATAATTTCTTGATGAGTTAAAGGCACATTGCCTGATAAATGATAATAGGTACCTGAGTACCCTTTCACTTATGAATTACCAAGACAACAAAGAAGCAAAGCGAAAGTAACCAAGCATCAAGAGGTAACAACATATATAAAATCAACTTTCTGCTTGAACTATGTTTTGCAAAGAAAATTAAAAAAAAAAAAAGTACCTAATATTTTAAGAAATTGTTAATCAATTGGTTTAAAAGAGACAAAAATAGACACCATCTACAAATTATTCCTACAGACTGCCTTCTCATTATGTGGATGAGGCATGAATACCTCTAAGCCCCAGGCAATCTCTTAAAATGAGGAACCAACTAAAAATTGAATAAGCATATACAAGACAAAAATAGGGTTTTTACTTTTGAGTAGTTCAGTATCTCAATGCCAACTATGTTAACACAACCTCAATTTACAATGATAAGCTAAGTATAACTAGATCACTCCTTTACCAACTAAACCTTGAAAAGATACAAAAGTAATATTTATGCATCTGCTTCCTATATTGATTGGCAAAATTTCCCTTGTCAATATTGAATGAGCTCTGTTCAAAAAAGTTACATGTCAAGCTCTAAACTTCAATAAAAAATCTTAAATTGGGCTGTTATTTGCAGACATTTCACTGCATAATGCGGACAGAAGAGAGCTTTCTTTCACCGTCCAGCCAAGCACCAAATTGGATGCAGAAATATCATGATCAGCCCAATCATATGCAAGAACCATAAATTAGTTTCTTCATAGTCATGGCTATTCAGCATCTGCCATCGTCTGTGCCACACGAAATTTGTCTTTAAGAAGCCAGGTGCCATAGCCTTTACAAAACCATCAGGCAAACCAAAACTACCATCTACACTCATATTGATTCCAAGCTATTGAATTTTAGACCCCTAAAAATAGAGCATCAAATTCAGATGATGAATATTAATATTTATAAATGTTCACCTTGTGATGAGCAAAATCAATGTGGGAAGGATCAGAGACGTTCTCCATAAGAGTATCATAGCCATAGAACAGATCGCGCTGAATTGTTACTGTTGAAAACTCGGGCTTATCAAAGTCATCAGGCAGCCTAAACAAACCCCAGTAGGAAAAAAACCTTAAATTATATTATTTAAATCAGCAATTATTCCCTTAAATAATTCTTCAATGATGTCGTGAAACTATTAAATAATGTACGAAACAGAGGTGTATAATGAGGAAAGGGATTACATAGGAGTCTTGGTGGCTTCAGCTCGTTCCCACCCATTCTCATCAGGCCAAACAAAAAGCAGACCCTGAGACACCATAGTAGGAAACCTTGTGGCACATGCTCTTGGAGACCGAACAGCTCGAGCTTCCGGCCCCTCCGGCGATGCCTGAGGAATCCGAGTACAGGATCCACACCCATCAAACGACCACCCGTGGTAGGAACACTGCAAGTGCCCATTTTCATCTATTCTTCCTTCCTATAATACACCATTAGAACCCATCAATCGAAAATCCTAAAAGTTTCTGAATATTACACAAAACCCAGATTTCAAGATTGGATAATTAGATTTACAGATAAAGGAGCGAGGCGGTGAGGGCATTTGTCATCGAATGCGACCCACTGTGAGGTGGATTTGTCGAGCCAGAGGACGAGGTCGCGGTTGAGAAGCTGGAATGGAGTTGGGCGGGCAGGGTCAAGGTCTTCGATGAGAGAGACTGGGTACCAATGGTCTCTCCAAGAGAATTTGGATGATGATGAAACTCTCTTCATCGTCTTCGAGTTCAATATTTTCTGGGTTTTGATCTGTTTGTGTTAATTCTTGGTTTGTTTGGTCAGCCTGTTCCTGTTCTTGGGAGGTGGGTGGCGGCGAAGTTGGAGGTGCAGCTACAGGTAGAGGAGAGAGAATTCTTCTGCGTCCTCTAGGTGTTGATGATGGGTGTAGACAGTTTAGTATGGACACTCCGAGTAATTGGGGAGAGAGAGAGGTACGGAGGGCTTTGGTTATTGTTGATGGTGTTGAATGAATAGGAGTAGCAGCTGGTGTCGAGAGCAATACTAAAGAAGCCATTTGAGCCGATGATTATTCACTTCAAGAAAAACGATCCTTCACTTTCTTTATTCATCCAACAGTATGAACGGAAAAAGGGGTGTGTGTGTGTGTGTGTGTGTGTGTGTGTGTGTGTGTGTGTGAGAGAGAGAGAGAGAGGAGTGTAGAGGAACGCTTTGCGTGCAAGTTTGCAATGGCGCTGCGGAACCATTTCTCAGGCGGGCCAGACCAGAATGGTTAGGAAACATTTCTTCGGCTGGTTGTGAATGGTATCACCAATCATGTTTTGCCACATCACGGAATGTAGGGGCTTAAATGTCATTGTAGAAACGCTGCCAAAGTTAAATCCCAATTTTACCCTAGATATTTGCTGCGTGTCTTGATCGTATGGGTTTTACACCCAAGTAGCTGTGACGGCCGGGCCATGTGACGATGCGTAAATGAGACCCGTCGCCAAAATCCGGATGTCCACAACTTTGATTGGCCATCTACGGTCAGTATTAGGAGAAGTGCATAACGTGGACGGCTCACGCTTCATGATGGGAAATAGGGTAGAATTTTACTTGGACGGTAGGAATAGGATGTTAAACGAACTGGAGCAGACTGTTTAAAGTTCAAACACGTCTCTGTTGAGATTACGGGTATGACATTTTTTCTAGTTCTTAATGTTAAAATCGCATCTGCAATATTGATATTTTAAATAATAATTATTTATTATTAAAATTATTTTATTTAAAATTAAAGTTATTATTTTATTTAAAATTAAAGTTGACAAAAAAAAATAAGAAAACTAAAAAGAGAAAGAAATAATGATGGGTTTAGTACGAAATAATGCTTTAAATAGAAATATAATAGACATTAGAATGAA